TATGGGGAGGAAGTGGGAGGGGAGCTGTTGCATTGTGTTAAACTGTGGTCAATGACATGAGACAAAGTATATGTGAACTGCTGTATGGAAAATGAATTTGCTCTGTAAATCTTCACCCAAATCACAATTAAAAAAAAAAAAAAATTGTGGTAAAAAAAAAAAAATGAGCATCACACTGATACTACTTTTTTTGGTCTAGAATAATTCAAGAATAAAATTAACTGCTTCATTTAATTTCCTCTGACATGATCCTGGGTGCTGCCTTACGGAAAAATAATTATTAAGAAGATTGGAAATTATTTCAGAAGAAATGTTTCTTAACCCCTGAAATTCAACAACTACAATACATATTTATCATAGTGGAAGAATGTGTTGTGAGGTGTCATTTAAACTAGGAAAGAAAATCTAGTTACTTTAAAGCTAAAATTTGTGTGAAGCTTAAAGTCAAAGAAAATAAAGATTCAATAGACATACTGTGTCACTTTAAAAAGCACTGGGATGGAAGAGAATTTTGAAATGTAATTTGTCTTTAAAGATTCCATTTAAGAGAAAACTGGAAGAAAGCATCAGTTTCTCTACCTTAGTGACAAACATCTAATCTACTCTTTAGACATTTACTCATTGTCAGAAGAATTTTTCACTGGAAAGTAAATATAAAACTGTCTGAATTGAAAAACAAAGAATGGGGGTAGCATATATAAGATAGACACCCTTTCCTCACTTAATGACGTGGTTAGTCCCAGAGACCAGGTTGTTACACAAAAATCAGTATTATGCAAAAATAGAGGATGCCCACATCAAATCACAAAATGGAGGATGACTACATCATTACATAACTGTCAAATTACCTCATTAAATAGCTGCCAACCACTGAGAATTGCTGGCACATAACTTTAACCATCACAGCCAGCATTGCTCTCACTTCACACCTCGGTATTTGGTACTGCCAGACATATGTCATTAATATTGCCAAATAGTCAGATAGATTTTTTTACTATTGTTTAAATGAGAAATGCCAGATAATTAGGTAGCTAATAAGTAAGGAGAGGATGTATAAACACGTAAGTGAAAAAGACAGTGAAGCCTATGGACAATACTTGCATAGATCTGTGAAATTAATTTTCTCTTTCTCTAATTGGTTTAGAGTGTCAAGCCAAGGATCTGAAGGAAATAAGGAAATACCTAAAGGTTAAGTACAGTTTGTGATAATTACTGAATTGGTATAAGGAAACCAGTAAGTATCTAACTACTTACAAGCATAGATTTTAAAGATCTGTGGTTTACAAGGGAAAACAGTAATATAAAATATGATTTCCAGCTCTACTTTTAGGGGAGAACATTGCTGAATTTTTCATAGAGATAAATTTGACATACATTTAATTTTGTTTTGAAAGCAAAATACCTCATCAAGGACAGCAGCTCTTTGAGAAGTTAAGACAGCAGGACATTATATTTGTTTCTTAGCATGAAAGCACAGGGAGATAACTCAGAGGCAGGAATGTGTAGGAAGGACACAAGGAAAGGGTAACCAGAGGGAGGAAATAGGAAGAGAGCTGTTTCATTATGAGGATTACAGTCAATGTCATGAAACAAAACGTGTATGAACTGTGGTGTGGAAAATAAACTTCTGTAAACTTTCACCCAAGTCACAGGAAGGAAGGAAGGAAGGAAGGAAGGAAAGAAGGAAGGAAGGAAGGAAGGAGAGAGGGAGGGAGGGAGGGAGGAAGGAAGGAAGGAAGGAAGGAAGGAAGGAAAGAAAAAGAACATATCCTGCATGTCACAGAACAAGAAGAATAGGTTTGTTTGTTATGCCAATCTGGCCACAGGAGAAGCCAAGAAAAAAAGAAAAAGAACATATCCTGCATGTCACAGAACAGGAAGTATAGGTTTGTTTGTTATGTCAATCTGGCCACAGGAGATGGTCTGGACTGACTTAACAAAATGAACTGATCTCAGAGTTTTGGTTCTTCACAGATTAACTTTCATGGAGCCAATTGATGTTCACTAGAAACAAAGTCAAGCAAAGAAAACAGTGCAGTGGAATGAACTATAAGTGGATATCCTATGAGTTACATGGAATATAACAGAGAATAACAGTTTTACATCTCCACCAGATGCCTAGCCCTGGCCTGCAATTTAGACCAGGAAAATCAAGAATTGTTGAAAGTTCTACTTTGCTTCTGAATAGTCCAATTAAAATATTCCTGTGGGTTTGATAGCTTTTAGGTCCAAAACAAACATAGCAACAATGAGGGTAGAGCACTGACTATGAAGTATGTCTACAAACCTCAAACAAAAATCTTGTATCTACCAATTTCCTTTATACCAGAAAGAAAAGGAAATCCATCTGAGTTACTCAGGGTCACTCTAGATCCTGGTGAGTTTTGTAGGCTCATTTTGGTATTATCCAACCACAGAAAATGGTCTATCTGCTACTAAGAAATAATAAGTGCGGATTAGAAATTAGGAGGTACTTCTCACCCTAACACTCTAAATATAGTCCATTTTATTAGGTCTCTCCTACTAAATTCCTCCCTCTAGGATTATAAAATCACAAAAGTGATGGTTTCTATTACTCAAATATATGTTTTACCTGTAGGCTACAAATACATTTTGCCCTATCTGGATCCTTGAATTTTTTTTTGGGGGGGGGGAGGATATAAATTCCTAAATCATACCCCTTTTTCTTCATTGTTGATATTCCGTATCTTCTGAAATGTCTATTCCTATTTGGATATAACCATGTAGGCCTGTGAAAATATTATGAATACAATGAAATTGTTTTAACCTGCTTGTCTATTCTTTTGTTTTGTCTGTTAGGACTATAAATCTTCCTCTTTTCTTTCAATGATCCCATCTTTGCCTACTAACCTCACCCATGACCAACTCTAAAGCATTCTTTCCAAAATCATGTTTGTTTCTTAGAGTGAAAGAACATTTCCCACATATTACAGAACAACGAGCTCACTGGAGATGAGCAGGTGGTAAGAAAGAAAAATGAGAATATATTCTTTTATGAATTCTGGGTGCATTTCATTCACCTATATATCATATAGTTTTGTATATCATGTGCGACTAAACACATCAAAAGCTGTATTATGTATCTCAATTACAGTATGGCCCTATTTAGTTTTTTCTATTTCAGAAGCTGAGTACAAGTCTCCATTGTTTATAAGAAATAACATGAAAATGCCCATTGCAGAATATTTCAGCAAACCGAAGTCTCCTCCCAGGCCTAAAATTCAGGACAGCATATTTGCAAAACCCGGGTCAGCAAGGAATACACAACAAAGAAACAATCTCTGTCTTCAAAGAGCGTGTTATCCTTTAACATACCAAAGATAGAAATTCCAGATTGGCTAATTCTTTCACAAATTTAGCTTCACTTTGTTACAACATCACATTATTTTAAAAATAATACTTTTAGTATTAAAGAATCAATCGGTATTCTTTATGTGATACACGGAAATCTCAAAGCACCTGTGTATAATACTACTAAATAAATATTAGTGGAAACAATATTTCTATTTGTAGTCAATTTTAACAAAATGTGTAAAAGAAATATGTTTGTTTATATACTTCCAGCTTGCAATGTTAGTATTAGGTTAAAAACATAGGGCCATGATACTAGAAAAATCATCCATAATCAGAATTAGGCAGTTAAACTGTTAAAGGACAAAATAAATAAATAAATAAGAAAACATTAGTATCAGTTGATTTTCCCAAACTAGAATGTTTCAATGTTCTTGGAATATTACAGAAAATTCTCACATCCCTCCACAAAATGATTAAAAAGTTATCCCTAACTTATGAGTCTTAAAGAAGCTAGTTATTACTCAATGCTAAGGGTAGATGACATTAATAGATTTCATAAAGTGAACTCTATTGCTTAAAAACTCTTGGGTAATGGTTATTATTTTTTTAGAAGGCTTTAAGATGTTCGCATTTATATTTATAATATATAATTATAAAATCATATATAAAATGATAATATAACTTGTGTGTGTGTGTGCATGTACGTACATGTGCAATCTTAATGATAGTAACACTTGCTGTGAGTGAATTATCATTTAAAATATACATATGCATCACTTGACCTATCCACAATACATTCTATGACATAAAATGTTATGTGATTTGGATGTTGTGTGAACACCACACAAAAATCTTATGGGAGGCTATTTCCAGTTGTCCTTGTTACTGCTGCTGATGCTGTTACTGCTAGAGCTGCCAGAAGAGCAGATGCTGGCAGCTGCAGCAGCTGATATGGTGGCAACAGGAATGGAGAGAGAGGGAGCAAGTGAGGAGGGAGCAGAGCACACCCAGACCTGATGGATGTTTCATCCATATGAACAAGCAGGAGCACCCCAGGCTTCAGTCCTTGCTACAGCTGCCCACCTGCCCACCAGACAAAGCCCAAGAGACCATACCAAGAGCCACATCCTCTGACTCACCTGCCTGTATCTCACCTGTGGCCCAGTGCTGCAAGAGTCTGTGTTTGGGGTCTTTAAAAAACACTGTTGTTGTTGTTATTGTTGCTAGGTGCCATTGATTTGGCTCCAACTCATAGTGATCCTACATACAACAGAACAAAACACTGCTCAGTCTTATGCCAGCCTCACAATCCTTGCTATACCTGAGACCACCATTGCAGCCACTGTGTCAATCCATCTTGTTGAGGGTCTTCCCCTTTCTCACTGACCCTCCACTTTACTAAGCATGATACCTGTGTTAGACTGGGTTCTCTAGAGAAACAAAGTCAGTAAAGCTGATATATAGATAGATAGATAAATTTATCTTAGGAAAATGGCTCACACACTTACAGAAGCTGCCAAGTCCAAAGTTCTTGGATCAAACGTCAAGTGGGAGGCTTTTCCCGACTCTTGAAGCTGCAGGGGCTGCAGAGCTCAAGGTTGGCAGGCAATATATTGGCTGTTGACTCCAATAAATGATGAATCCAAGATCTCCAGGCTGAATGGTGGATTGTTTGCTCATGGACAGTGGTAGGCAGTACAACAGAATCTCGATCCACAGAAGAATGTCTCTTTTCCCAGATGTCCATAAATATACTGGAAGCAGGCCACACCCCTAGAAAAACTCCTTTTCGACGGATTGGCTGCTCAAAACATATTCATTTGATCCCATCATGGGAATAACCACATCACAACTGCTTAAACCACATAGACTTGTGGTCCAGCAAAGTTAACACACAGCTCCGACTATCACAGTCCACCCCTTGTCAACTTGGCAGTTGTACACATCTTCTTAACCATATATAATCTCTAAATAAGAACAATTATAAAGTCATATTTGCACCTAACATGATATGCTAACACACGTACAACTGAAATGCATTAACCTTGTTTACATTTCACAGTTCATAACGGAAACAAAAATATTTGATGCACATATACAATGAAGAAATATGACAATCACAGTCCTTGTTTCTGCAACTGGTCAGGTGGTCATACCTGGTATTCAGAACTACCTTCTCCTACCACCCATTCTGTATTTCCCTTGCCCTCAGCAAGCACCTCAGGTGTTCGTGGTTCTTTGCTTGGTAGGGTGACCCAAACCTTCATTCCTGAAGGGTCTGGGCCATTAGCAGTCATATCAGAATTGGGTTACTGTAATTTTCCATTGACTTTAATCACAGGGCATGGTAGTACTAAGAGACGTCCTAAAGAATCTCCTGTATTCCAGACATATTCTTCTTTACCTCCATTATATAAAGTCAATCCAATTTCCCCTTGGTATTCAGAATCTATCACACCAGATAGTACAGTAATGCCCTTCTTTGTCTGTTGATCCAGAGGCATGAGGAAGCCAAAATGGCTGGGTGGTATTCTTAATTTCCAGTTCAATTCAGTCAGTATTGTATCTCCATGTGGGAATGTTCCTCCCTTTGGGACTAAGATCTCCAGACCTGCAGAGCATAGGGTAGCAGGGACAGGAAGCAAAAACTTTTGAGTGGGTCACTAGGGGTAATAGCAAGTGGTACCACTCCCATTTCCACCCCTTGGTTCCTGGACCCATGAATCCTGGCTATTGGAGAAACAGAACCACATATTGGATGCTGGTTTAGAGCATATACAGCCTCCTGGAGAACACTGCTCCAGCCCTTCAAAGTATTGCCTCCTTGCTGGTGACATAACTGTGTTTTCAGGAGGCCATTCCATTGTTCTTGCAAGCCAGCTGCTACAGGATGATGGGGAACATGGTAAGACCAGTGAATTCCATGAGCATAGGCCCATTGCCACACTTCATTTGCTGTGAAGTGAGTCCCTTGATCTGAAGAAATGCTGTATGGGATACCATGATGGTGGGTAAGGCATTCTGTAAGTCCACGGATGGTAGTTTTGGCAGAAGCATTGCATGCAGGGAAGGTGAATCTATATCCAGAATAAGTAGCTATTCCAGTAAGAACAAAACTCTGTCCTTTCCATGATGGTAGTGGTCCAATGTAATCAACCTGCCACCAGGTTGCTGGCTGATCACCCCAAGGAATGGTTCCATATCACTGACTCAGTGTTGGTCTCTGCTGCTGGCAGATTGGGCACTCAGCAGTGGTGGTAGCCAAATCAGCCTTGGTAAGCGGGAGTCCATGTTGCTGAGCCCATGCATAACCCCATCCCTGCCACCATTGCCACTTTGTTCATGAACCCATTGAGCAATGACAGGAGTAGCTGGGGAAAAAGGACAGCTTGTTTTCAGCGAACATGTCATCTGATCCACCTGATTGTTAAAGTCCTCCTCTGCCGAGGTCACCTTTTGGTGGACTTTTACATGAGACACAAATACCTTTACTCCTTTGGCCCATTCAGAGAGATCTATCCACATACCTCTTCCCCATACATCCTTATCACCAATCTTCCAATCATGCTCCTTCCAAGTCCCAGACCTTCCAGCTCAGCCATTAGCCACAGCCCATGAATCCATATATAATCGCACATCTGGCCATTTCTTATTCCATGCAAAGTAAATAGCCATATGCATAGCTCGAAGTTCTGCCCATTGGGAGGATTTCCCTTCACCACTGTCCTTTAAGGAAGTCCCAGAAAGGGGCTGCAGTGCCGCTGCTGTCCACTTTCGAGTGGTGCCTGCATATCATGCAGAACCATCTGTAAACCAGGCACGAGTTTTCTCTTACTTAGTCAACTGATCATAAGGAACTCCCCATGAAGCCATAGGTGCAGAGTGGGACAGGGAAGGTAATGTGACTAGAGTGGAGACCACAGACATTTGGGCCACTTCCTCATGCAACTTACTTGTGCCTTCAGGTCCTGCTCGAGCCCAATCTCTGATATACCACTTCCATTTAATGATGGAGTGCTGCTGTGCACATCCAACTTTATGACTCTGTGGGTCAGACAACACCCAGTTCATGATGGGCAGCTCAGACCTCATGGTCACTTGGTGGCCCATAGTTAGGTGTTCGGTCTCTAGTAAAGCCCAGTAACAAGCCAAAAGCTGTTTCTCAAAAGGAGAGTCGTTATCTGCAGAGGATGAGGGCTTTGCTCCAAAATCCCAAGGGTCTGCATTGCGATTCACCAATAGGGACCTGCCAAAGACTCCAAACAGCATCTCTATCTATTACAGACACTTCAAGCACCATTGGATTAGCCGGATCATATGGCCCAAGTGGCAGAGCAGCCTGCATGGCAGCCTAAACTTGTTGCAGAACCTTCTGCTGTTCTGGGCCCCACTCATGTGACCTAGAATTCTTCTGTCTATACAGATCAAGTAAATACTCAGCTTTCTGAGTCACTTGATAAATAGGCCACAGCAACACACCCAAATGAGGGATATGTTGCCTCCAAAATCCAGAGACCCACCAGATGTTGTGGCTCCTTTTTAGTTGTGGGGGAAGCCAGATACAATAACTTATCCTTCACTTCAGTAGGAATATCTTGACAAGCCCCAAACCATTGGACCTCTAGAAATTTCACTGAGGTGGAAGGTGCCTGAATTTTTGTTGGGTTAATTTCCCAACCTCTAGCACACATATGTCTCACCAATAAGTCTAGAGTCCTCAATGCTTCTTCTTTACTAGGTCCCGTCAGCATAATGTCATCAATTTAATGTACCAGTGTGATGTCTTGTGGAAGGGAAAGGTGATCAAGATCCCTACGGACTAAATTATGACATAGTGCCAGGGAGTTGATATACCCCTAAGGAAGGACTGTGAAAGTATACTGTTGTCCTTGCCAACTGAAGGCAAACTGCTTCTGATGGTCTTTTGAAACTGATATCAAGAAAAAGGCATTGGCCAGATCAATAGCTGCATACCAAGTACCAGGAGATGTACTAATTTGCTCAAGCAATGAAACTACATCAGGAACAGC